CCGAACAAACTTCGGTACATCAAAACTTATAAACTCATAATAAAACTGTCATCGTAACGTTAAGCGTGCGGACCCTACGGGTTCGAGAACTATGTAGACATGACCTAAAACCATTCTCGGTCAATAACCAATAGCGGGACCTGGATTCCCATATTGGTTCCTACATATTCTACGAAGATCTTTATCGGTCAAACCGCATAACAACATATGTTGTTCCCTTCGTCATCGGTATGTTACTTGCCCGAGATTTGATCGTCGGTATCCAATACCTAGTTCAATCTCGTTACCGGCAAGTCTCTTTACTCGTTCTGTAATACGTCATCTCATAACTAACTTATTAGTTATAATGTTTGCCAGGCTTAAGTGATGAGTATTACCGAGAGGGCCCAGAGATACCTCTCCGACAATCGGAGTGACAAAACCTAATCTCGAAATACGCCAACTCAACATGTACCTTCGGAGACACCTGTAGTACTCCTTTATAATCACCCAGTTACGTTGTGACGTTTGGTAGTACCCGAAGTGTTCCTCCGGTAAACGGGAGTTGCATAATTCTCATAGTTACAGGAACGTGTATAAGTCATGAAGAAAGCAATAGCAGAATACTAAACGATCAAGTGCTAAGCTAACGGGATGGGTCATGTCAATCACATTATTCTCCTAATGATGTGATCTCATTAATCAAATGACAACACATGTCTATGGTTAGGAAACATAACCATCTTTAATTAATGAGCTAGTCAAGTAGAGGCATACTAGTGACTATATGTTTGTCTATGTATTCACACATGTATCATGTTTCCGGTTAATACAATTCTAGCATGAATAATAAACATTTATCATGATATAAGGAAATAAATAATAACTTTATTATTGCCTCTAGGGCATATTTCCTTCATATTGGGCTTATTATATGTTTATTGATGTTAATTTAGGCCAGATAATTAAGTTATCTACCGGCTGCTACCATTTGAATGTGTCATGTTTGGCATTTTAGTGCAATATTTCATGATTTCTCGCTTGGGTAAACAATTTGTTGCTTACCCTGCCTAGACTTCCATTTATGCCCTAGGCGAGGCGTTTGGCCATCGCCTAGCGCCTAAGCGTGCCTAAGCGCCTCCTAGGCACTGCCTTTTCCAACAGAGTACCTAAACCACAAGCCAGATACTCAGATTGCAATATCTCTTTACCCACATTATATGTGTTCAATCCGAAGTCTTTCTAGATGTTTTTTGTCAGATCCTGTCATTTTCCTTTTCTTGCGCCATTATGATGGTGAAGATGGTCAGCGTCGTTGTAACATTGATCCTTTTTTAATCTACTTACTCTCTGATTGTGTTATCCCACGAATTCTTACAGCTCTAATCGATAATCGTGTATTGCAGACAAAGGCAAATCAGTACAGGGCTGAAGAGCTTTCCTACGTTTTCCACGATTTGAATGAAACTAATCCTTTACTTGATTCGAAGTTCAAGCATCCAGATGTACAAAAACTTGCTTTCAAGCTGCACTTCTGTATTCTCCAAAAATTAGAAAGCTGCTCCTATGTAGAAGATGATTTATTTTTTTTGCGAAGATGTTTTTTCTTGTTGCCAGTTATTGTAACTTGTCTATGACTCTGCTTGTACGCTTCTTGGATTCGTCACCCACATTGTCGGCTGTTTGTCGTTCGAAATAGTGTAGTGCAAATGTCTTGGATGGATCTAATTTACTCTTTGCTCCAGTCTAATATCTTGTCCAAATTTATCTTCGTGGCTATTTATTTCCGGCTGCTGATGGAATGCCATCTGAGCATTTTTGTTTTCCCGCGGTCTATACTTGCTGATCCGGAAACGATACTAAAAATCGGTGCTTATCTAAGCTAGTTACCAGCTTCTCTGGCTTGTTACGCTATTGTGAGCTAAACGAATTTATAGTTTAGCTCAGATAATGAACAACTGTGATCTCAAGTACTACTAGTAATAATCAGTTTTAATTATGTTGGTTTCCACGTACCTTACTTTGACAAATCTCACCCTTGGTTACTTGAGTTCAGACTCGTCTAACCACGCAGCCCTTGCCCAAAAAGAACATTCAGTAATCTTACGGCGCAATTTCTCCTTTCGTACTGTATAATCTTACTTCAGGTGCAGCCAAATCTTACCCCACACACCATCGGTTCTCATCGAATTCTAAGGAACGTAAACTTACCTCACAAGCATTTTATTCTTACTGTGGATGGAGGCTGGTTCGACCCATTGTGTGAGTTGGCTGAGGTGAAGAATAAGAATTCTTCACCCTAGGTGACGAATAGTCAATCCAGTGATAAGCATATGCGGTGACCATACTTTTTCTAGGTTAGTGACCGTAATTCGGGTATTGTGAGTCCAGTGACCGATGTGAATTTTGGGGATGAGTCAGTGACGGCTGGTGACCGCGGGTGAATTTATCTTGTGTTAGGTTTGACTCACCACTTGGACAAGATTTTGTCCATTATTTCTTTCTTCCCTGCACTAACATGTGGGACCTACATGGGGTAGGAAGAGAACGTGGGGCATTTCATTCTTCCATCTACTAACTACTGGGACCCACGTGAGGTAGAGACTATTTGATCGATAAACATAGATAAAATACAGGACATGGCGTTTTGGTGCTCGGACGCAGCTGCACAGAAAATCTGCGCCGGTCGTCCATGCCTCGGGATGATATTAATTCGCTCTGACACAGAAGAACGTGACCAGCAGAAAAGGTCTATAAAGATGTTATACGGGCTTGTACAGTGCTTGGTTGTGGGCCCTTTGCGTAGATTGTCGGGGTGTGGCGTTGTGGGACGATGCTGAGCCACGGGACGGACTGTCTACTAGGCCATTAGCCATGGTACATGACGTTTATGCAATCCTTATCACTAAGATGTCTGATTTGCCCGTAATTAAATCGCTATGTCTTATCATCAGGCTCCGTTTGTGAATCCACATGCGCCTGGACGATGGTGATTTCGGGAGCAGCTGAGTACGGGCTCCAACCAATTTTCATAAAATACATAGCTATATAGTGAGTCGGCGACCATATAATCACCAAAACTTATACATAGTGACCATATTGACCGAAAGTGCTCTTGTGAGCTCGAGCTCACATGCAACCTTTGCTACAGTAAATTCAAGAAATTATTTAAAAAGTTCTAAAAATATGAAATTTCTTGCCAACAAACATTGATGTGTCTTTCACATGCGTGCAAAATTTCATGACAAAATGACATTTATGCAGGTCACGGCAAAAGAAAATTAATGCTCCAAAATGCTTCCAAACAGTTTTTTTGAAGCATGATTTTGTTTTTTGCCTAGACCTCCACAAATGTCATTTCATCCCGGAAATTGGCAGGCATGTGAAACACACATCAATGTTTGTTGCCAAAGTAATTCAGATTTTTTTTTTGAATTTTTAAATACTTTTTTCGATTTTACTGTAGCAAAGGGTGCATGTGAGATCGAGCTCACATACAACGTGTCTTGCCAGTAATCTAAAGTACAATGACCAAAATGAACTTGTGAGACATGTACAGTGACCACCAATGCATTTTACTCTTATGAAAACTATGAATCAAAACTCCACATCTAGACGTGTACCCTATAATATCACCCACAAGATTTTATTGTCCATTATTTCTTTCTTCCACTGCGATGGGATCCACGTGGGATAAGAAGAGAATGGGAGATAGATTGCTTGACTGGTCAACATAGATAAAATACAGAGCTATACGGTGAGTCAGTGACCGTATAAGCACAAAAAGTAAACCTGCGATGACCAAAGTAAACCTACGATACAAGTATAATGATTACCAATGCATTTTACTTTCATGAGAACTAGGAACAAAAACTTCACGTCTAGACGCTCGCCCTGAAATATCACCCCTGCAAATACACGAGAGAAGCGGACGACAAGGGACATCCATTGATCTAGTACCTGGCTTCTGATGGTTAGAGAAGAGAAGAATACTTCGATGCGTTTGGACCATTTTTTGTGTTTAAATTTAAATTGCATATGTGGTGGATTTGAATTGATGTTGAGCTATGTGTGTTTGAAACAATATGATTTGAATTATTATGATGATAAAATGCATGTGTATGAAGAACATTTTTTTAACACAATACGATCGAAATCGCTTACATACATGAACATACACTCACCTCTATGAACACACGCACCTCCGAGTCGGCATAACATATTAACATTGATTGATAAAATCATCATACGCGCCTCGTAGTCGATGGGAATGTCTTCTCCCACTCAACAAATATCATCGAAAAGTCTGAAATAAATCCAGAAAATACGAGCACCAATCAAGCCTAGGACTTGAAGGGATACGACTGTTCTCCGAACCATCCAGGTTGGTTCGCGGAAGAACATATTGCTATGGATGAGTTTAGCTGGGTATCAAAAGTGGGGATGGGCTTTTCAAAGAAAAAAAAGTGGGATGAGATCTAGTACCTGACATCCCATGGTTAGATAAGTGGAAGTAATAAATTTGCAGTTCAGTATTTGTCAGGTGTAGCAAAAAAAAAACTTGCCACGAAAACTTGTGCAACCTAGAACCGAGAGCAAGACTTCATGGTTGACCATCTGTTGACACAACCCTGCTTTGGGAGTGTCATCTACTTATATAGAAAAGATGCAAGTAGAAGGAAAGCAATATAATTTGTCAAGCATATTAGAGCAACATCTATATCATATTGACCGTCGCTAGCATATGCAAAAATGCTCAGGCCTTGAAACTTGTCATGACAACAGTACATAGAGGCTACAACAGGCTACAGGAGATCATCGACTGATGATGGATAACTACAAATAGACAGACATTCATCATGAGAATGAAATTACATTTCTCAAACAGATGTTCTCGGGACAGACAGAGGCGGGATTTCTACAGGCAAGTGAATCATCGTCAAAAAAAACGAAGAGCTACCACTGCACAAATTTCAAAAGCAGGTTCGGCCTTCGCTCTCCATCAGAAACCCGGATCATCTTTACATGATGCCCTGGGCAGTAGAAGAGTCATTTCCATTTTCACAAGAATCCTTTCCAAACACCTCTTCTATCACATTGTTTGTCGAAAGAAATTCGTCTTTCTCCCAAACGCTACTGAAACCAATATCCCATGTTTTCGGGTCGCAATGGCCACCAAAGTATCCATGATCTGCAACGCTACCAAAGCCAACATCCCGGTAGTGGTCTCCAGCAATATCAGTGGGTGTGCCATCCGTGGTACAAACATGCGGAGCCTCAAATGATGTGCACGAGTCGTCTTGAGCATCTGCGTCAAAAATGGTTGCCCCCTGGTTAACGTCCACAAGGGACACCATGACATTCCCCTCCATGCAGCAATTTTCTTGCCTGTCACCACTAGAACAGTCAAACTCATCCTCCTCACCAGACTCTTCATGCATATTTCCTTGGAGGGGAACTTGATTGCATGCACCATCATCTTGATCAGTAAGAGACTCGAGCAGCAAATCCTCACCAGCCCTTTCTGTCACAGCAAATTCATCATCATCTCTTCCCTCCCATTCATCATTATCACTGTCAACATTCATTGGATCAAACCTATTCTGCTCAGCCCTCTTCCTCAACATGTAGACATTGAAATAGTAGCTCACTAACTCTTTGTTAGTCTTCAATGGGAAGGCAAGCAGAAGTTCATCCCAGAAGTTCCTTCCAAGAGAGGCAGGGTTTAATGATACCACATCCTGGAACAAATGCTCTTCATCTTCAGTCCATTTCAAGGCCACCTCCTCTCCCATGTCAAAGAATCCTAACTCTTTGAAGGTGTTCAGATCAAGGGCACTCATTAGTCTTTCTCTTGCTTCCTTCACATGCTTCCTCACGCACGCAATCGAACCTTCATCAACACAACTGCAATCTGTCTTACAGCAAACAGGTTTCAGCACTGAAGATAACTCAACAGAACCAGGCATTGGAATAACAGAGTTCCTAATCCACTTGTCACTCCCGGCTTCCTTTATATCACATATGTGAGAAGATGATGACACATCAGCATTACCATCAACTGAGCTCCTACAATTACCAGATGCACACTCTGGCAACTCAGCCTGATAATTTGGCCCAATTGGAACAGTTTTCCTTGTAGGGCAAAGGCTAACAGACGAGTAAATGTCTTCCCTTTGATAATAACTTGCAGATCGCAGGTAATCTTCAACATAAGTTTGGGCTAGTGAAAAATTAACGGGTGGATCTACACCTTCATCCTCACTTTCCTCACTACCGTACGCTGGTGGATCGGAGATTCTCTCCCATGTCTTGTATGATCCATACTCTGGAACATTTATGTCAGCATCTGCTGCATTATCTTTCTCAGATACAGCTGAAATGGAGAAAATATGAACCCAATCAGCACTTTGGTTTTATATATAGGAACACATGGCAGTAATGGACAGCCACACGCAACAGGGAAATTAAACCTCTACACAAAGATGGCCAAAATACCCACCATACTATCTCAATCATGCATAACAAGGTCACGTAGGGGTGATGGGTAGATTTAATAGAACCCTTTGGGGAAACTAGTCCTCATGGCGGAAGTGTCAAGTGTATGGAAGCAAAGTGTAAAGTGTACAGAAGCAGAGTATCAAAAGTTTCTGTAAATGACAGAGTATGAACTTCCATAAAAGGTTGCGAGTTAACATGTCTTACTTTGCTCTTCCTGCTTCATCCGTTTGCAGTCCAACATGTCTGGGAAACCACTAGAGGCAGGTCTCTTATAATGATCGACTGTCACTTCTTTAACAGCACTGGTAGTATTAACTAGACAAGCTGTGGTATTCCATTCTGAAATTCCAAAATTAGGCCCAACTATTCATCAGATTGGCTAGTTTACATTCATTTGACAAACTTTAATTGCACACAATCTGGCACAAGAATCTAGGCATGCTTGTACAAGGCGAACGGAAATGGCAGCCGTTACCTGTTGCAATATGGTATTTCCCAGGAAGGAAGTTTGAGCGCCCATCATCGGTTCCCCTCAGATTGCCACATGCAAGCTGCTCAGAGTGGTGCCTCACATAAACCTCACTATTTTCTTGATGCAACATAATGCTCCTGAGGAAGAGAACTCTTCCATTAGATAACAAAATGATGGCAAATAGATACAACTATATTGCACCGGGTGATCACTGTGCAGGACTAGAACGATAGCTAAACATCATGAAGAGGAAACGTATTGTGTTACTTATTATACCAATTGCAAATGAACATCCAAGTTGAACACTACCACCGACCACACTGACGTACAAACCTTCAAGTGCGCATCACCAAAGTAGGGTGCACAAATCGATTGCATCTCATGTTTTCAACCAAGTGCATAACATTGTTTCCGCACATGCGACGTTCTCCCACTAAACTATAGAAGGTGCAACACATAGAGAAGTTTATTCAATTATATTTGTATGGGCAAACACAGGCAGTATACACGGCCGTGATCTCCCTGTGAGAATTTGGAAGCAAGCTCCATACGACATCCATGGATCAACCGGTCAATTCAAATAGGTTTGTCTACCCTATTAAAGTCAAAATCAAATTCACCGCATGAAAAATAAGTCAAAATTAAATTCGCCGCATGAAAAATAAGTCAAATTAAATTAAGGTCCCGATGAATCCAAGCCTGGTCAATTTTAGATCTATCTTTCTCGAATATAAGAAATCAAAAATCAAGCAAGGGGAGGGACTACTTACTGGCGATGAGGGGTCGTCGGAGGGTTGGACGCGAGGGAAACGACGAAACCCTAGCAAACAAATCGCGCAAATTCGATGAAAGGAACCGCAATAATAGGATCTCAGAGCCACCAATCAACCACAGACCAGCCTCCCCTGGAGAAATCCCGCCTCAATCGAGCCAATCGGTACCCGATTTCAGCGCCTCGAAACCCTAATCTCGGGAACACACAGAATCAACGATACGGGGCGAAATCGGTACCAATAGAGAGGCCTCGGCGAGGGAGGACCGGATCTGGTGTCGAATTGAGGATTCGGGGAGAAGAGGTAGATGAATCGAGATCAGATCGAGGGGTGGGGAGGGGGAAGAGGGGAAATTTGGGGGAAAAGAGTTTGGTCCACGGCCCGTGTCCTTTTTGGTATTATTTATGGGAAAGACCGGCGAATACAATAAAGTAAAGAAATTATTGGTACGAGAATTTTTGGGCTCTCGGTTCGGGCCACAGAAATAGCCGAGGCCCAAACTATCAGTAAGGCCCCTTCTTTCTGCTTTTTTTATTTGAGTCTGTGCTATCTCTCCTCTCTCCCTATAATAATAAAGCATGGATTGGGTCTTCGGGTTCACCGTCACGGTGTTTTTACACAAAAGTCCCTGCTGTTTTAGTTATCTAACCCGCAGTCCTCTTTTAATCTGAGAAAAACGTTTCAATTTTACTAAAAACAAGCGTGCAGCGACGAAGATGCAAGCAGGGGAGGTCCCAGCTGCGCCGGCGTGCAGCCACGAAGATGCATGCAGGGGAGGTTCCAGGCCGCGACGGCGTTCATTCTCCGGCCGGATCACGCCGGATTCCGGCGGGAATGGTTCGAGGGTGACCGAATCCACGCATGGGGTGGCGAGGCAGGCACTTGAGGCGGCGACGCGTCTCGATGCAGAAGAGGGTGGTGTGGCGGGACTTGCAGGGTATGGGGAGGCGTGGAGCCAGGCGACGGCGAGAAGGACGACAGGAAGGAGGTGCGGGGCGAGCTCGAGCTCCTGCGGGTGGCCATGGCAGAGAAGAGAAAGGGAACGAGGAGAGGGACGGCAGCGGATTACCTCGGGACGACGGCAGGACTCGCCAGCCTCGTCCTCAATGGGGTAGGGGAGCGGCAGGGAAGGTGCGAGGTTAGCGACGCTCGCCGCGGACCACGGCAGAGCATGGCTGCTTCGAGCAGGACGGCGCGAGGAGGGAAAACGGGAGGAGGAGAGGCGGAGCTTGCCGGAGGCACGGCATCGGGTGGCGAAGTTTCCGGCGGGAGGCAAGCGTGCGAGGGGCGGCGGCGGCCGAACCTCTCTCTCGTGCGTGTCTCTGGTGGCTGGGGATCGAGAGGAGGACGAGGGGGCTCGGAAGAGTGGGGATCGGGATCGAGCGAGCCTCTCCCCTGGCGGCTAGGGTTGACGAGGTGCGGCTGGGCCTTGGGCCAAAAGGGCCGGCAGGCGCTGTCTCTCCCTCTCTTCCTTCAGTTTTTCACTTTTTCTATTTCTGAAAAAGAACCCAGAGATTTGAAGAAAGAAAAGGAGCTCTAGGAAAAGAGTTTGGGCATGGGGTTATTTTCCCTGGACTCACAAAAATTATCGTGATCCATAAAATATAAATGGGCATGATTGAAAGTTTAAACTCAAACTCTAGGACTAGGTTTTATAAGTGTCCAAAAATATTGAGATTTTTAATGGAACTTGGGGAAAAGATAGAAGAAATATCGGCAAAGTTTGGAGGTCTACCTTGAAGTAGAAAAAGGCATGGGGTTTTTGAAAGGCTCAAAAGGAATTTGAAAAGGCAATTAAATAAAATAGAAGGAAGGCTCAAATGATTTTCTTGAAAATGTTCGTAGTTTTTTATTTGGTCATCCAGGCTTTTTAGAGGAGAGAGATCTGAGAGTTTGAGAGAGACACATGAAAGAGAAGGGTACATGAGAAGTGAGTCAAACATGAGAGATAGAGGCATAAAAAAGATATGCAAGAGACTGGGAGAGATACATACGTGAGAAGTTGAGGCGTGCAAGATTTAAACCCAAAAAGAGTATGGAGACTCACGTTCATATCCGTGGGAAAGAGACCATCACAACCAAGAAAAACAAAGCAAACGTCCGTGCTCAATGTGCCCGCAGGACGACCTCATCATATCGCATAGGTCATGCGGGGTCAATAGGATTGCCGACCTTGTTGATGTCTACTACACAATCTTCTTCTTGTAGACGTTGTTGGGCCTGCAAGTGCACAGATTTGTAGGACAGTAGCAAATTTCCCTCAAATGGATGACCTAAGATTTATCAATCCGTAGGAGGCGTAGGATGAAGATGGTCTCTCTCAAGCAAACCTGCAACCAAATAATAGAGAGTCTCTTGTGTCCCCAACACACCCAATACAATGGCAAATTGTATAGGTGCACTAGTTCGGCGAAGAGATGGTGATACAAGTGCAATATGGATGGTAGATAAAGGTATTTGTAATCTAAAATAATAAAAACAGCAAGGTAACTAATGATAAAAGTGAGCGTAAACGGTATTGCAATGATAGGAAACAAGGCCTAGGGTTCATAGTTTCACTAGTGCAAGTTCTCTCAACAATAATAACATAGAAAGATCATATAACAAACCCTCAACATGCAACAAAGAGTCACTCCGAAGCCACTAATAGCGGAGAACAAATGTAGAGATTATGGTAGGGTACGAAACCACCTCAAAGTTATCCTTTCTGTTCTATCTATTCAAGAGTTCGTAGTAAAATAACATAAAGCTATTCTTTCCGTTCGATCCATCATAGAGTTCATACTAGAATAACACCTTCAGCCACAAATCAACCAAAACCCTAGATACTCCATTGTCACCTCAAGTATCCGTGGGCATGATTATACGATATGCATCACAAAATCTCAGATTCATCCAACCAACATAAAAGTACTTCAAAGAGAGCCCCAAAGATTCTATCGGAGAGTCAAGAACGTGTGTCAACCCCTATGCATAGGTTCCCAATGTCACGAAACCCGCAAGTTGATGACCAAAACATACATCAAGTGGCACATGATATCCCTTTGTCACCACAGATAATCACGGCAAGACATACATCAAGTGTTCTCATAAAAGACTCAATCCGATAAGATAACTTCAAAGGGGAAACTCAATTCATCACAAGAGAGTAGAGGGGGAGAAACATCATAAGATCCAACTACAATAGCAAAGCTCGGGATACATCAAGATCATGCCATAGATGGAACACGAGACAGAGAGATCAAACACATAGCTACTGGTACAGACCCTCAGACCCGAGGGTGAACTACTCCCTCCTCATCATGGATAGCGTCGGGATGATGAAGATGGCCATCGGTGATGGGTTCCCCCTCCGGCAGGGTGCCGGAACAAGGTCCCTATTGGTTTTTGGTGGCTACAAAGGCTTGCGGCGGCGGAACTCCCGATCTATCTTCTGTTCTGGAAGTTTTAGGATACGTAGGTATATATGGGTGCAAGGGGTACGTCGGTGGTGAAGGATATATGCCCTAGAGGCAATAATAAAGTTATTATTTATTTCCTTATATCATGATAAATGTTTATTATTCATGCTAGAATTGTATTAACCGGAAACATGATACATGTGTGAATACATAGACAAACATATAGTCACTAGTATGCCTCTACTTGACTAGCTCATTAATCAAAGATGGTTATGTTTCCTAACCATAGACATGTGTTGTCATTTGATTAATGAGGTCACATCATTAGGAGAATAATGTGATTGACATGACCCATCCCGTTAGCTTAGCACTTGATCGTTTAGTATTCTGCTATTGCTTTCTTCATGACTTATACACGTTCCTGTAACTATGAGAATTATGCAACTCCCGTTTACCGGAGGAGCACTTTGGGTACTACCAAACGTCACAACGTAACTGGGTGATTATAAAGGAGTACTACAGGTGTCTCCGAAGGTACATGTTGAGTTGGCGTATTTCGAGATTAGGTTTTATCACTCCGATTGTCGGAGAGGTATCTCTGGGCCCTCTCGGTAATACTCATCACTTAAGCCTTGCAAGCATTATAACTAATAAGTTAGTTATGAGATGACGTATTACAGAACGAGTAAAGAGACTTGCCGGTAACGAGATTGAACTAGGTATTGGATACCGACGATCAAATCTCGGGCAAGTAACATACCGATGACGAAGGGAACAACGTATGTTGTTATGCGGTTTGACCGATAAAGATCTTCGTAGAATATGTAGGAACCAATATGGGCATCCAGGTCCCGCTATTGGTTATTGACCGAGAATGGTTTTAGGTCATGTCTACATAGTTCTCGAACCCGTACACTACAAGAAATATGTCAACTTATGACCTTCTGTCAGTGACC